CAATTTTTGCTTTTATAAGGAAGGTGTACTTCTTAACAGCACTCATCATTACAGTTAGAGCCCGTGGGAGCATGCTAATTTTCACCCTCCAGCAGACCTGATTAATCGAGTCTGCTCCAACGCACTGTCATTACAACACATCAGAGAAGCCTCCCTGCACATGTATAGGAGCCCTAAGGTTTGTGAATTTCAGTCCAGGAAATGGATACCCACAAGTTAGGCCTGATGAGACTAAGCAGAGGACCTTCAATTGAACTTAGAAGCTTTCTACACACAAGAAGGAAATAATTCCTGGGAGTTCTAGTTTCAAGAATCTGAGGGCATTTTTACACATGTAGGTACCACAGTGCTAGGCACCTTGACAAGCACCTGGTGCTGCATCACTTGCAGTTGTATAAGTGGCAAAATGCACATCAGTGCTAAGAAAATGGTGGCGGCCTGCTTTTGAACTAAAACACATAGAAGGTGTTTTAGTTAAAGCACACCACTGCCATTTTCTGTACGCTGGTGTGCATTTTACCACTTACACAACTGCATGCGGCGCAATGCAGTTCACATCAGCTTGTATGCGAAGCAGACTCGATTAATTAAGTCTGCTGCAAAGCAGTGGCTCTCCAGCGCTTTGTGGGACAAAAAGGTATGTGAATAAATGCCCTAAGGCACTCCTTGAAATGCAGGCATCCATTGACAGCTTCTGATCTCAGCTAAATCAATTTAAGTCCAGAGAAACTGCGATGAACTCACCATTGAAGAAAACAGTGTTATTTTAAGCTTGTACAACTGTACAAATTAGAAATCTTGCCTTCCAATTTTAAAGGACAGATCCCTCTCATCTCTATAAAATTAATCTTTGCGGCTCAGAAAGGTTTGTGAGGTTTTGTCTTTCTTTGTATCAGTAGAAATCTGAAATCAGAAGTAATATTTACAAGAAAACTTGACAGAGACATAATGACACCCCATGCAAATGGATTACCATGTGACTAAATTTGAAAACCACTAGTTTACTATACCATAATGTTGATAGTCAGTCAAAGAAATTTCAAGATATCTTGAATAAATTAAAGATCATAGTTAACAAACCAGGTGTAAGAAACAAACAAAAAAGAAAGAAATCTCCCAAAGGAAACTGTACTGCATTATGTAGGCAAGTTTGTTGAATATTTGCCACAATACCAAACTGCAACAACATGAAAAAAAAAACAGCTGAGTATATGTGGAAAAATAGTGATTAGGAAGGCACTAACTCATTTTAAAATCTAAGTGAGACTGTTTCAATAAACCATCTATCATGAATAGCTGCCAATAAAATGGCATTTGGTGGTTTGTAATCACTTTATAGGTTTCAAATTGAATTTTGATTATATTTCCATAAAGAGAAAATATTTACAAAAATACACAATGCTGTTGAGACTCACACACAGACACATCAAACTCAAAAATTAAAAATACTGTGCAGTGGCCAATGCACCGTAGTCATATCAAAATTAAAATTGATTGCAAAATGAAGATGTATATTTTTTATTGTATCCAAGAAATCCAATGCTTTTATTTAAAAATATGTTAATATACATTTTTAAAGATAAAGCAATTTACAGTTGCATTTTAAATGACAACAACCTATATTAAAGCCCAAGTTTATAATAATGTACTGAAATCATCCGTGAGCCCTCTGCAAAATGTGATGACCTCAAACTGCCTTAAGTGATCAGGAGGGCTAGGGACAGACATTACACATAAACTGATTTAAGTGATCAGAAAATGGTTTAAACTTGTGACAGAACGGATGTTCAGTGCACATAAACCAGTTTGAAAATCACTGAAACTGGTTTGAGATAAACCTGGTGGAATGTAGGCTCAAACTGGTTTATATAATGTCTGTCCCAGACCCCTTGCTGGTTTCAATTAAATCAGACTCCCCCAGCATCCCACAATGCTCTCTGGGCTGGGTGGGGCTCTCTGTTCCACAGCAGGGCTGGACATTCCTCTCTGCTCCCTGGCTGCAGCTTTGGCAATCTCTGCAGGCATCTGCATGGCTTCTGCTCTCTGCCCTCCCACCACTCTCTGCTAAGCAGGCACCGCCCCCCGCCTCACAGACATCTCTCAGTATTAGCTAGCAGATCACATGCTGCCTACCTCCAAGCTGTGGTACTTGGGACAAAGGCAGAATCAACAGATAGCTGGTAATGGCCTTTTGTTTTCTTAATGGGGTGATAAACATGGAGTTAGAGGTGAAAAACATTCCCTGCTGAGCTGTTTGTGTGGGGGGGACCCCCTCCCTAATCATAGCATCCTGCCAGGGCCTGACCATGTCCCCCCTCAGCTCAGCTCTGTGTAAGAGACGGGAGGGCTATTCTAGTGCCCCCCAGCTTCTAGCCTGAGCCACTGCAGGCATGTGCCTTCATTTCTGGGATGTCTGTCTGGTTACAAAACTGATTTAGCCCAGCCAGGTTAGACTAAACTGCAAAAATTGAATCAATTCAGGCTCAGCCTTTTTGAATGTCTGTCCCTAGCCAAACTGGTTTAAACCTGTAACAGAACACAAATTCAGTGCACTTAAATCACTTTCAAAATGGCCAAAACCAGTTTAAGATAAACCTGGTTGGATGCCGTATCAGACTGAACTGATCTAGGTCAAACCAGTTTATGGAACCTCTGTCCCAGACCCCTTCCTGGTTCAAAGTAACTCACAACCCCACAGCATCCCAGGATGCTTTGCAGCCCTTCACTGTGCTGTCTACTCCAGTGATGCAGGGTTGGCACCACCCTCTGCTCCCTAGTCAGAGCACTATCACTGCTCCAGCTGGCTAAGAAGGGGTAGGGGTGGGAAACCTAGCTCCAAAACCCAGCCAGGGTCTACCTGGCAGGGCTGGAGCAGCCCCTCACAGACTTTTCCCCTGCTCCCTTTTCCAGTGGAGGGGTGGAAGGTATGACCAGATATTGGCAAGGCCAGCATGCTGAGGTGGAGGGGGAGAAGGGAGTTTAAATCCTCACTCCCACCCACAAGGGACTCCAGTTGGGATCTGCCTGGCAGGAGTGAAGCAACCCCTGCCTGGCTTTTCTCCTGCTCCCTACTCAAGCAGAGGGGCGGGGGGAGGGCGGTAAGATGCCAGCCAGGTCAAAATGCTGAGGTGGGGAGAGAGGGTTTAGAGCCCCCCTCCTGCCCCACTTGAGCATGTGAGTCCCAGGCCAGGATGTACCCATGCTCCCCCTCCACTAGAGTAAGTAGCAAAAGCCTGGAAAGCAAGGGGCAAAAGCTGCTTGCAAGCTCCCAGCTGGGGCATGACCATGGTCATGGCCACTTGAGGGAGGGACAGAAGCCTGACAGAAACTGTACCCCCATCATACTCCATCTGGGGTTCCATGTAGGACTGGGAGGGATTTTAAAACCTCTCACTCTGTGCCTCAGTGTGCAGGCCCTGGACCAGGGCATGGGCATGCCCCCTACTCTCAACTTGAAGCAGGGGGCAAATGCCTGCAGGGACTGCCCCCCTAGCAGAGAGCAGGGGGGCAAAATCCTGCAAGGGGCTACCCCAAACTCCCACCAAGTAGACCCCAGCTGGGGTCCCCTGTGGGCCAGGAATAAGGTTTAACCTCCCCTCCCCCACACCACCCCACTCAGCATGTGGCCTGGGCTGGGAACGGGGGATAAGCCTGGCAGGGGCATCCCCACCAAACAGACCCAGGCTGGGGTCCTATGTGGGCCAAGCACAGGGGTTTAAACCCTGCTTCCACCTGGCCTTAGCATGCTGGCCACAGGCTGTGGCCAGGCCACACCCCCTCTGCTGGAGCAGGGAGCAGGGGAACACTTGGAGGGCTTATCTCCTCCCTTCCCTTTGGCAGAGGCTGGGAGACATGCTCTAGTGCTCCCCACTCTCTCTACCCCCCCACAAGCTTTTGACCTGAGCCATTGCAGGCATGTGACTGCATTTCCAGAATCAGAAGTGAATGTTTAGACTAACCTGCAAAGATTGAATCAATTCTGGCTCTGGCTTTTTGACTGTCTGTATTTAGCATTAGGGTTTATCTACACAGTGCAAAGCTGTGCAAAGTACCTTGTATACTAGCTCCATAATGAGAACCAAGATAGCACAGTACTAGGCGTAGGCTAATTAGCTGTACTGAGAAGCAGGGATTAGATGTAATGCCATGTAAATATGGCTATGTTGCTCCCAGTCCTAGAGCTAATGTGTCTAGATATATCTCAGGCATTTCTGTGCAGTGCTGCCTTCAGCCATAGAGACTGGTACACAAGCTAGCACATTCAAAGCTGGATTGGAAAATCTCTGCATTGTGCTGTTTTGACATACCCTCAGGTGCCTAATAGGATTTCCAAAAGCACCCAAGCAGGTTAGGCACTAACCCTCATGACTTTCAATTCCCATTGACTTCAACGGGAAGTAGACCCCTAAACTGGACTCATTTTAAAATCTAACTATCTATTTGCAACTTAGGCACAATTATCTTTGAATATCTGTGCCAGGGCAAACTAGTCACTATAAAAATCTGTTGTTTAGTAAATCAGTTAGATGTAAATGCAGCTTTGTAATGTATTTAGAACATTTAAAGTTGTTTTATTAAACCTATAAAAACACAGTTTTTAAATTAAATTCCTGGTGTTGTGCCTTTTTAATTGAATCCCAATTTCCATCCAAATGCAGCTTGACACAAATCATGAGCAAAGCAATTATTAGCAAACAAGAAATGTGTCATTCATCATTTTCTAGCATAAAGTATAAACACATTAATCACCCAGATAAATATATGGCGAGCCATGCAGTTGCTGAAATAAACATATATAGATAAAGTAACCTTAGGTTAGACAAAAGAGGCACCAAATTTAGCCTAAAGGATATAGTTAGAGGCAAGTCAATGTGCTTAATGGTTTCCCAGTGAATTAAATCATCCCAACCTTCTTAATATTGCACTAACAGCTCCTTGTATGGCTCCATCTCTCTGTGGTCCCATTGTGATTTCTTCTGAAAGCAAACCAAAAAGCCCACTCTGCACTGACTTGTATGCATTTTTGCCCATGTTGGTTTTCTGCATAATAACAGTTGTTTTTAAAGCAATGGTGTTATTATTTTACTGTAGCTCAACCAGTGTTTACAATCTAAGGGCTAGATCAGGGGTGGGCAAAATGGCAGATCCAGCTGGCAGCCAGACTCCATCTCCCAGCAGCCCCTGCCCGCATGGCTGGGGCCAGTCTCCATGGAGACCACAGCTGCAGCTATGCTGTGATAGCACAAGACTGGGTTTGCCATGAAGACCAGCCCCAGCCATGCTGCCAGGGTGAGCAGCAGGGCAGAGCAGGGGCCTGCTCTGGACCTGCTGGGATCTTGCAGTGGAGGCAGCTTGGTTCAGGGCCACAGCAGAGCCATGATCCACTGCCTGCACACCGCTGCCCAGAGCATGCAGGCTGCAGATTGTGGCTCTGCCCTGGCTCCTTACAGTGGTGACAGCGTGGTCCTGAGCTGGAGCAGAGCCACGATCTGCTGCCTGTGTGTCCCTGCCCAGAGCGTGCAGGCTACAGATTGTGGCTCTGCCCTGGCCCTGGACCAAGCTGCCCCCATTGCAAGATCCCAGCAGTTCCAGAACAGCCCCCTGCCCTGCCCTGCTAGCGCCCTGCCAGTGTGGCTGGGGCCAGTCTCCATTGCAAACCCAGCCTTGAGCTATCACAGCACAGCTGTGGCTGGGGGCTGCTTGGAAATGGAGTCCACTGCCAGCCAGATCCGGCTCACAGGCCAGACTTTACCTGTCCCTAGGCTAGATCATGCAACTGGAGTCACTTACACCTAAATGACTTCCTGAGGAGTTCCAGTTCACCCAGGTAGATCCAGTTACAGAATCTAGCTCAAAAGTTGGTTAAGACTTTTTTTTCCTTCAAGATATAAACAAATAGATCCAAAAAAAAGGTTGTACTTATCCTTTCTTATTTTGGTTTAGTGCATGGTTTCCAAGTTCTAAGTGGCTGGGGGCTGCAGGTTGGACCAGTGGGGGCTACACCAGGCCTCCAACACCTCATCACTGGCTACAAATTAACCCTTCATGGGCTACAAGTTGGATAGTTTAGTGCACTAAACTAATGTGAACAGCAGTGCAGAACCGTATTTTAGAGCACTAAGGCAGGACTGCTACTTCTTTGCCTGACCCTCATTCTAAATAGTTTGGTTCCCTAGTCCTCTATATTCCCAATGACATTTCAATAGTATGGGCTCCCAAAGACCTCCAAGCAAAATATTTGGCATTTTTAGAAAGGAAACTACCTAGTGCTATGGCATAATACTTAGAAGCCTCAGGAATGACAGGGCAGCACAACTAGAGTAGTACTGAACACACTTTTTCTGTGCTACACCAGTGTTATGAGATTAAATAAACTGGAGTCCAGAGATTCATTGACAAAAATCATGCTCTGAACTGGTTTTCTGTCACCAGTAAGTTTGAGAGCCAATGGGTGCCTATGTGGCGGACCACCCACCTCACTGCATCCAACCACCTTCCAGGCTCTGAGTGCCTCCCTGGGGGAACCCCACATCTGGCCAACCCCCTTCCTACAGCACACCCACTAGCCTGGGGGTAACACCACCGCCACCTAGGGTCTGGACTGTTCTTGGCCCTGTGGCCCTTGGGAAACACAGGCCTAATAGTCCTTAAGGGTACTTGACCCACTTCAAGAACTTGGGGTGCTTCCCTCAGTCTGAAGCACAAACAGTTTTCTCCCTTAGTCAGCCAAACCAAAGGGACCCCAAGGCATAATCTAGAACCTCTCCCAATAAGTCTCCCACGCTAGGTACAAAGGAGAACTTGATTGGTTACAAGGAGTGGGTTTGGAATAGGGTACGGGGTAGAGCAATATCAGAGATATTGCATAGAGAAAACAGGGTGGCTGGGTAGCCTTTGATCATGCATCTGAGTTATTGCAAGCTATATATCTAGTGAGACCTCAGGTATCTTACTCACGAGTATCACCCAGAGACAGGTGGGCAGTTCATTGATCATGAGTTTCAAGAGAGCAAATTTCAGATGGTCCAGCTTTTCTCTGTGAGTTTCCATCATGGCTAGTGCCCCTCCTCCTCGGCAGCCCTTAACTTATTTAGCCCTTATTACCTCATTTACCTCATCCAATGGAGGCCAGCAATTGTTGGCTACCAGCCAACCACTTTGAATGCATCACTGGTTGCCAGGTAGACTGGCATTGCTCAGAAGAATAGCTCCTCACTCAGGTATGTGATACCAGTCACGAAGGCAGAGGGAGAAGGTTGCCCCCCTCCCTCAGGAATGTATCCAGCTCAGGTTACAACTCAGGGTCACATTAAAAGATGGGGCAGAGGAGTGACCATGGTAACCAAATTGTCAGGTAGCAGAGTTTTGGAGAGAAACAGGGAAGGTATTCTGCCACAGCCTATATATGTGCTCTGGCACATTCTAATTAGAATGCATTGGTTAACTGAGACTCAGTAAATCAAGATTAATTATCTTTTATGGAACATTCTAATTAGAACACTAATTAGAATGCTCCAGTGTGCTGCAGTGTCACGTGTATTCAGCATAGTGTTTCAAAATGGTGGGGGGAGCGCTTTAACTAAAACTCATCAGATAAGTTTTACTTAAAGTGCCCCTGCAGCCATTTGAAATGCACAATACTGAATACATGTGACACTGTAGCATTTTAATTAGAGCGGCTGTCTGGGAGTGATCTGCAGTAACAAAGCTAAGAGGCTTCTGTAATGAACAGAGATGGAGCTAAGATAAATCCAGGTCTGGATGTCTCCAACATTGATATGTGCTGGAATCCAGGGTTTTTGCACTGTCCATCTGCATGCACATGTACTGAGTTCTCCATGTAGATCTACTGTGGAGAACAGATGAAACTTTTGGCCCCCAAATCAGAGATTCATTAACTGAAATAATGTAATCAAAGTAATCTGAACAACCATGAAATAGAATCCATCTAAGTTCAGTACTATATATCCACAAACCTCTCCATTGCAACTGTTATTCAATGTAATTGAAAAAAGTATTTATGCAGTCCAGCCTGTAGTGAAAGAAATTTTTCATCATCTAACAAGTTACTGTTCAGCACCCTATCAGAAATATCTAGCAGTCTGAGTCTAGTTTCCAAGGGCAGGTAACCAAGTTATAAAAACTACTAAAAAACAGTTTCAGGACAGAGAGATCAATGGACTGAAGGAAAGTAGCATTTGAATCATTCTCTCACCCCAAGAGACATTTCCTCCAGTTCAGTGCTGCCACAGTTAAACCTATTCAGAGGATATGTGGAAATGAGGGACATCCATCTGGCATCTCCCATGAGCACTAAATGAACATTATCTAACTAGGGACTCACGTTCATCTGCATAAAAATAGAGCACTATGGGCTGCACACATATTCAGAGTCCAAGTCAAACACAAAGGTTGCTCCAGCAAGCCAACAATAGGGGGCTGCTCCTTTGGTCACCCTTCCTTCAAGGGAGCCTGTCAGCAAGCCAGAACAGTGACAGCTTCCTCCCCTCCTCTGCCAGGGAAGGCAGGGGGCAGACAGGGTATCAGTGATTGGTGGGTAGCTGATCACTGACAGTAGGAGAAGCAGTAGTACCTGACCTGCTGTCAGGCCATCATTGAATCCATTTGTAAGCACTTGGAGTAGAAAAGGGTGATTAGGAACAGTCATCATGGATTCACCAAGGGTAAGTCATGCCTGACTAACCCGATTTCCTTCTATGATGAAATGACTGGCTCTGTGGATGTGGGGAGATAGGTAGATGTGATGTACCTTGATTTTAGCAAGGCTTTTGATACAGTCTCCCACAACATTCTTGCGGGCAAGCTAAGGAAGTATGGGCTGGATGAACGGACTGTAAGGTGGAGGGAAAATTGGCTGGAGCATCAGGCTTAGAGGGTAGTAATCAATGGCTTGATGTCTAGCCATCGGTCAATATCAAGTGGAGTCCCCCAGGGGTCAGTCCTGGGGTTGGTTTTGTTCAATGTCTTCATCAATGACCTGGAAGATGGCACAGAGTGCACCCTCAGCATGTTTTCAGATGACCCTAATCTGGGGGAAGTAGTAGATATGCTGGAGGGTAGGGCTAGGATTCAGTGACCTAGACAAATTGGAGGATTGGGCCAAAAGGAATCTCATGAGGTACAGCAAGGGCAAGTACAAAGTCCTGCACTTAGGAAGGAACAATCCCATGCACCGGTACAGGCTGGGGGCTGGCTGGCTGAGCAGCAGCTCTGTAGAAAAGGATCTGGGGGTCACAGTGGACAATAAGCTGAATATGAGCCAACAGTGTACGGTTGTTGCCAAGAAGACTAATGGCATACTAGATTGCATTTGTAGGTGTGTTGCCAGTAGGTTAAGGAAAATATTCCCCTCTATTCAGCACTGGTGAGGCCACATCTGGAATACCATGTTTGGTTTTGGGGCACCCACTACCAACAGGATGGGGACAAATTGGAGAGAGTCCAGCAAAGGGCAACAAAATGGTGAGGGGCCTGGGGGACAAGACTTATGAGGAAAGACTGGGGGAATGTGGCTTATTTAGTATGGAGAAGAGGATATAAGAGGGGACTTAACAGCAGTCTTCAACTACCTGAAGGGGGGTTCAAAAGAGGATGGAGCTAGGTTATTTTCAGTGGTGGCAGATAACAGAACTAGGAGCAACAGTCTCAAGTTGCAGTAAGGGAAGTTTAGGTTAGGTATTAGGAAGAATTTTCGCACTAGGAGGGTAGTAAAACACTATAACAGGTTACCCAGATAGGTGGTGGAAGCTCCATCCTTGGTAGTTTTCAAAACCTGGCTAGATAAACTTTGGCTGGAATGATCTAGTTGGGGCTGGTCCTGCCTTGAGCAGGGGGTTGGACTAGATGACCTCTTGAGGTCCTTTCCAACTGTAATTTTCTATGATTCTACAACACAGCTGTTTCTTCCCTTCCTCCCAAAGAGCAGCAGCTTTCCTCACCCCCCACCACAGGGAGGAGGGGGGTTCTGTCTTTGATAGCTCCTGCGTCTGGAGCAGTATGAAGCTCTGTGACAGCTGAAGTTCTCTGCCACTACAAGTAACTCTTCCACATTACATGTAGTGCCACAAGATGTAGCACTGCAGAGGAGATTCTATTTGAAACAAATACATTTCTGTGGGGAATCAGCTATTTTGTGCCACTACAGATGGTATGAACACATGCATGATTGCTTTTTGTAGCACTAAAAGGGTGTGTTTAGAGCCATGAATGTAATGTATCTCATGGCCTATATCAGAAAAGATGCTTTTAGGAAATAGAAGCTTGTGATTGAAAACTTTGGAACATGATGGAAAAAAGGTTCTCCTTTTACTGTTAGCTTGGATCTATATCTGTCAGCATTTCATCCCACCCATGTTGCCTCCTCCTTGCCCCCTGCCCCCACCACTATTCCAACTTCTTTTTCTGCTGTCTTCCTTACCTTTTGTATGTTAACCATTGCTTTCTATTTAGAAGTTCTGTTTCCTTCATAGCATCTAACGAAATAAGCCACTGCTTACTAAAGCTTATGCATCTTTGATTTAGTTAGTCTATAAGGTGAAAACCTATCCTGCTTTCTGCCCCATTTGGTATGTCTTTTCTAGCTCTGTACAGGTGCAAATACTATCAATTAGTTCTTACTCAGCAAGTTTCTGGTGGTGAAACACGCTTTACCAGTTTATAGGTGTTGTCTTCATTTTTCAGATTTAATTATGGTTCAGTTGCAAATATTGTCATTTGTTGTAAGATCCATCATTAAAAGCGCTCTTGGAGTTAGCCTAAGGAAAATGCCCAAGCAGAAATTCAAATAAAAGCTTGAAAAAAGCAACTATAGTTTTGCACAAAGTATTTCAATACTTGTCAAAGCCCCTTACAAAAAAACTCATGCTACGATTAGGAAATACTCATCTATTCTTATATGACATAGTATGGCACATACAGACAGGTGGCAGTGCTGACACAGAGAGGTTGGTTCACTTAGATTCCTCTAGTTTTTCGGACACTTCATTTAATACTACTTTTACTTAACATGAAAGTATTCTGATAAGACACCACAACATGTTGTATGGAATAACAGAATAACATACTAAAGGATTTGCAATGTTAAGTAGAAGGTGGCATGAAATACTTTCAAAACAATTTATCATACATTATTAGCACTCTTCTGGCATTTATACACATACTTTTTCACGCTGCGACACACCGGACATCCAGTGCATCAGAGCAGACTCAATTAATTCCTGCATGTCAGCTCACATTAATTAAGTCTGCTCCTTATGTAAGCTGACATGCACCGTGCTGCATTGCTTGCAGCTGTATAACTGGCGAAATGCACGTCAATGCAGAAAAAATGGCAGCAGTGTGCTTTAGAACCAAAACACCTTTAATGTGTTTTAGTTCAAAAGCGGACCACCACCATTTTCCGAGCACTGACACGCATTTCACTTATACAACTGCATGCATTGCAGCACTGGGTGCTTGTCAAAGCGCCCAATGGTGCGGCACACACACATGTACAAATGCCTTTTGTGGTTTCAAATGCCGTTTTTAAAGAATTTCTGTTCCATTCCTGTTTCATCACAGATGTATTTAATATCTTTTTAAAACAAAATCAAATTAACATGGCCTTCTACAAACCTGAGTGCTTTCAAACTAGCACAGCTCTGCTGTTTTGTACGTAAATTACAGAACAACAGCAGTACCATACTCAGTCAGGTCAATAGTCCATGTAGCCCAGTATTGTGTTTCCAACAGTAGTAGTAGTATATGATACAGAGGAAGAGAAAATGAAAAGTGATCCAGAGTGATCCATGTTATACCTCTGCTGGTATCCACCATAACTGGCTGTTAGAGTATGCATCCCTATTTTATTTAATCACTATTCATGGTACTGTTCTCCATAAATATGTATAATCTCTTTTTGAACCTGGTTATATTACCTGCCAACACAAACTCCTGTGGAAAGAGTTCCAGAAGTTAACTTCAATGTGATGCTGCGGCCAGTAAAGCAAGCAAAATGCTGGCTTGCATCCATAGATGCTTCTCAAGCAAATCCCGGGACGTCATTCTCCCCTTGTACTCGGGCTTGGTGAGGCCACAGCTGGAGTACTGCATGCAGTTTTGGGCTCCACAATTCAAAAAGGATGTGGAGAAGCTTGAGAGAGTGCAGAGGAGAGCCATGCACGTGATCAGAGGTCAGGAAAACAGACCTTATGAGGAGAGGTTGAGAGCTATGGGACTCTTCATCCTGGAAAAGCGCAGGCTCAGGGGTGATCTCGTGGTCACCTTTAAGTTTAGCAGGGGTGTTCACCAGGATTTGGGGGAACGTCTGTGTAACGGAGCACTAGGGTGCTCGC